CCTTGTTATCTTGATCTTAGCCTCTAACCGTCTTTTCCATGGTGGGTATTGGGTCCCATGGTTGCTCCCTCTGTTCACCTGGTTTTAAACTGAAGGGATATTCTGGGCTCAAACTGCTCCTGTGGTCAGACAGTTTAGTGTTGCAGTACTTACAGAGAACTTTACTTGTTCCCAGCTCACTGTTGGAAACGTTTTAAACTAAAAAATAGCCTGAAGAACCCAGCAGGCAGCTTCAGCCATGTTTCCCTCAGCGGGTGCTCGCTCAACAACAAAGGCTCTCATTGGATGAGACGAGTGATGAAGGCTACCTAAAGTCAGTAATGATTAAGATCCCGCCTCCCTGCGGTGACCACTGGGTTTGTGTGTGTCTGTGTGTGTGTGTGTGTGTGTGTGTGTGTGTGTGTGTGTGTGTGTGTGTGTGTGTGTGTGTGGTCATTACAACATCGCAAAGAGCTTTCTGACCTACAGCCAGTGTACTAGTGTTGGTGATGGTTCAAGTCTTTGTGTGTGTTGTTGTCAGTTCAGCAGGAGGAGGCTGTTCTGGGAAGTCTCAGTTTCTTGTACAGATGTGAGAGTTAATTGTTTGTGCCCAAAACAAAGTCATGACAAGGGATTATTTTGGTTTTAAACCAAATAATGTCACCAAGAAGAAAAAAAACCATCAATCAGTTTCGAGGTGATGTTAGGAGCTGCARCCAGCTGCTCTTCAGATATATTTTCTTTTCTTCTTAAATGTCATGTTTTAAATGATCTTAAATCAGTACCAGATTCCATATTTTAAATATAGAGTAAGTTATTTAAACAACTAAAAGAGTAACAATTGGTTGTTTTTTGCGTGTGTTTATTACACAGCTGCTAAAATATGACAGATTGACTTGTTCAGTTTTGTTTGGACAAATAATTTCATTAAAAATTTTTATCTGTTGACAGTGGTCATTTTTCTGAATAATTCCTCATGAAAATTGTTGCTAAATAAAAGAAAAGAGTTGTTAAAATCTGTACTGAACAATAAACCAACAGCAGTGTTCCCCGGTGGATCAGGATCACAAACAGTCAGTGTTTATTACACATTTGTATTTGAACTGAGCACTGATTAAAATATGAGAACATTTGAAACTGAAATGAGGACTCCAACAGTCACTGAGTCAGTCAGACCTACAGTCTGCTGCAGGAACAGGAAACTGTAGTTTTGTGTGTAGCAGTCAGTAATGGTTACAGTTGAGTGTAGAAAGGTCTGAGGATCCTGACAGCTCTAATAAACCTGTTGTGTTTCAGGAGCCACCAACAGTCCCAGTCAGCTCAGCGTTGGCAAGCGGAAGAAGCTAGCAGCAGTTGATAGTGTTTTTAACAAATTTGATGACGAGGAAGCCGATGAGCAACCTCGAAAAAGGAAACTGGTTCCACTGGACTATGGTGATGACGAGAAGAACCTGGGACTGGATGGAGCTGACATTTCTGCTCCTAAAAGCAGCATCAACACAGAGGAGAAACACAAACACATCAAGAGCCTGATCGAGAAGATCCCCACGTCCAGGCCTGAGCTCTTCTCCTACCCTCTGGACTGGGCTATGGTTGACTCGGTAAAAACTCACACTTTCAGTTTAAACTGTTTTAATCAAACGTATAGATGCAGATATTCCAGTGAGAAGATGGTTTGTGTTTGAAAATAAGCCTGTGTGATGTTCTTCTTGTACCTTTGTTAGACTCTGATGGACCGTCGTATCAAACCGTGGATTAATAAGAAGATTATTGAATACATCGGAGAAGAGGAGCCCAGTCTGGTTGACTTTGTCTGTTCYAAGGTCAGGCTCTTTGGAAAACTCACAACTAGTTTAGATTAGATTGTGTTTTTGTTTGGAAATAAAAGTTAACCCACTGCTGTCCTTGGTTCAAAATGACCTCAGTCTTATGGGTCAGTTTGACCCCAGAGCAGCARGAGGGTAAATACTCCATATTCAGTTTTTAAGCTTCGCCCTGTAACATTTAGTTTGACATGTTGTTTATTTAAATTGTTTTCTTAATGTCCAGATAATGGCCCACAGCAGTCCTCAGGGTATTCTTGATGATGTGGCCATGGTAAGTTGAAATATGCTCCAGAACAAGTTTGGTTTGTAAAGAGTTTGTAGAGAAATGTAAAACTTTATTACAGATAAACATAAAGACACTACACTGATGTGTGACCTGTGAGCATGTTTGTGTTAAACTCTGTTCTAAATAAAACTTACCTGCAGCTCTGCCCGACAGTAGATAACTCAGACATGTGGACTCTCCAGGCTGCATTACTAAAGGTGACACAAGCTAAAACGTAATGATGTATAACTACTGTTCCCTGAAGGAGAGGAACAAGGTACAACACAGACAGTGTGAGACACCTGCAGCTGAACACACCTTTACACAGGTGACATGATGACAGGTCACAGTCCAGGCCTCCTGCGCTATATTTGTGACCCATCACATCAAAACCAGGATTAAGTCAAATTTGTTCAAAATGACCTAATCCTATTTTCAGATTCCTGCTTTAAAAACTACATTTTGATACTTAGATCATCCTGATATCATCCAGAGATACTATTTAATTTGTCTTCTTGGTTATAATAATATATAAATATTTGGTCCAAATCCTAATTTTATGTAATTTTATTGAGGATTTTCTATGTCATTTGAAAAAAGGGAAGCTCAAAAAGTGTTTGAATATTGAGATTTACCAGCAGGAAACAAAAGTTTTGATAGGTTACAGTGAAAATCTCTACATTTTAAGGTGTTTTTCTTCAAAATCGAGTTTTTAGTTGTTACTGCTCAAAAGAGTGCTTCAGATACATACACTCACCGGCCACTTTATTAGGTACACCTGTCCAACTGCTCGTTAACAC